CTTTATATAATGCCCGATGAACATCCTGGATTACTGTAAATTTAACCAGCCATTGCGTATTTAAAATTGATAAAAGCATCTATGAATGGATCAAAATATCTAATGTCAGAACAAACACAATTACAATATAGTGATTTTCAAGAAGTAATAAATGCTGCATTAGATGAGCTCTGTTTTCATTCCGCTCTAAAGTCTCTTATACGCTGTATAAGGTCGTTGTCCTCCTCCTGCACATTTGTCTGAAAGAGAATTGTAAATTATACATTTTGGGAACGATATAAAACTTTTTGGGGGGATAACAACATTACAACTGAACATAAGTTGTGAAATAAACCAAAACAAATCAGAATCTACGGGACAGGCTGTGGGTAACAAAAGCATTAAAAGGCAGTGACCTCAGAGAAAACACATCTGCCTTTATGTTTGAAATTATATTACCACCACACTTAAATTCACAATAATGTAAATGATGCACATTTCACAGCCCACTCTAAACTCCTGTTGTTTTATCAGCAGCTGCATAACCAATGAATACCAGGCTAATAATGATTAGAATAACAGAGGCCAGACCTGGTGGTGGTGAACCAATGATATTTGCAGGGATACGGGATTATTAGCTTGATGTCCGTGTCCGAGTGATTATTCTCTAAAAAAAAAAAAGAAAAGAAAGAAGGAACATACCTGTTGCAGCATGGGAGAGGAAGAGAGGAGTAGGGGAGGTGGAGTATGTAGAGAAACATGCTTCCCCATAAAGAGAAATTGGCTATTGTTTGGATTTCACATGATTGATGCTTGACTTAATCCAGTGCTCTTTGCGCCTTCCCAGGAGGGTGAGGCGGCCTCTTTGTGCGCCCCTGTCCCATGTGAAGCAAACCAAAGCGGGAGAGTGAGGGTCAGAGCTATTCGGCAGGGTACCAGATCCTTCCCACCGGCGCATCTGCATGTGAAATCGCCATTTCACCCCTCCACACTCCCTAATTGTTGCTAAAATTATTTGTGAAATTGCCTTCCACCAGGAGTGTTTTCCACGGCAATTGTCACGATTTTATATGCACGGTGGGCCCACAGAGTTGACACACGCACCTCTCCTTTCTCTGCCACATGTGCGCTTTTTATCCCACTTTAATAGTAGCGCATCGTTTTTCTTTCTTTTTTTTTGAACAATTACCTTTAAGCAATTACTCTTGTGTGTACTCCGGGGGCAAGTCAACCTGTTGTCATCAATGGCGGGTCGATCCGATGTTGTAATTACCACAAAGGAGAAGCTATAGGAGCGATTCAGATGTGCACGCTGCGCACATTTACTTAATTGAAAGGTTAACAAGCCAAAAGCATCTTATGGACCAAACCGTCGTGATGAAGCAGACGTGCAGCCGCGTGTACAGCCCCTGTCCGTCCATCCACACATCGTACTGTCCTCACCTCAGCTGTTTCAGGTTCGATTTCTTTTCTTGGGGGGGGG